CCCATAACAGCCTGGGATTCCCTGTCCTGCTGGAAAAAGATCCCATAACAGCCTGAGATTCATTTTCCTGCTGCAGAGAGATCCCTTAAGAGCCTGGGATTCATTGGTGCTGGAAAAAGATCCCATAACAGCTGGGATTCATTATACTCCTGTAAAAGGATCCCAAAACAGCCTGGGATTCACTTCCTGCTGGAAAAAGAACCCATTACAGCCTGGAATTCATTGTCCTGCTGGAAAAAGATCCTATAATAGCCTGGAATTCCCTGTCCTGCTGAAGGAACATTCCATAACAGCCTGAAATTCCCTTTCCTGCTGGAAAAACATCCCATAACAGCCTGGAATTCCCTGTCCTTCTGGAGACAGGCTGGGCAGAGCAGGACAGGGAAATTCCAGCCTGGAATTTCCTTGGCACAGCCACACTCCACAGCTTTCTCCTCCCAAGGCCAGCCCAAAGCACTGCAGGATGTTGCTGTGGTGGAGTTTGTGGGGCAGAAAACAAAACCCTGGGGCTGTGCTTGGAGCAGGAGCTCAGCCAGGGCTGTGCCCGAGGAGTGTGGCAGGAAAAAGCTGCAGTTTGCACTGGAATTTCCTTGGAAATAGGTGGGATGGAGATTAAATGGAGATTTAATCCCTAAGTGCAGCTCTGGAGTGACTCCCTGCCTGCAAAAGCAGGACCTGTTTATGTGCACCACAAATTGAAATGATTGGGGATGAAATGATTTTGAAATTTCATTTTATGGCCGATATTTTAAAGGGGAAATCCACGATGATAGATGAGATGATCCTCACAGCCTGCAGGGGAGGGTGCTGTGGGACAGGGGACACAGAGAGGCACCAGCTCAGCCCCCAAATGCTCTGCACTGAGCTCGCTCTGCAGCAAAACACAGCACAGAGAGAATAATAATTATTAGGGTTATTATTAGGGCTGGAATACAGAATAATTAGAGTTGGAAAACACCTCCAAGGATGGGAGGAAGCTCACACAGAAATCTCCCAGGTGCTGTTTGCTCCCTGTTTGGAATGGGAATTCTCCCATTTAAAACAAGCAAATTTTTTCTCTAAGCAAAAATCCCAAAAGCAATTATTTTTATTTCTTTCATTTTTAACCCTCTGGGAATTTATTTTTTTTCACAGGAAACAATTTAAAGGAATAGTTTCATTTCAGGTTTCATTTCCAGCACCCAAACCAACAACATTTTTCATGGATAAACACAATATTTCAAAGGATCTGCTGCCTTTACAAGGAATTTGCTTTCATCAGAAAATTGTTTTTCTGTTAAAACCTCCCTTTAGTGAAATCAAGTGAATCAATGAGATCCTTTGAGTTTGAGCTGAATTCCAGTTTTGCTTTGAGGAACGTGCCCTCCTGTGGGTAGCAGTGACAGCTGCAGCACGCTGGGAGAAAAGAGAAGGAAGAGAAAAATCAAACTTCTCTTTCTTTACAACTTTTTGAAATTAATCTCCTTCCCCAACCCCTGGTATTGTGTGAGAGGAGCGAGATCTGGCTCATGAACAGAAAAAAAAAAAAAAAACAAAGAAAAATTCATCCCAGTGATCAGCTTGGCACAAGAAAATTGAAAAGAAATGAAAAATAATTAAAAATAAAAGTGCTGTGGTGATTCTGCCTGACCCCCATGGGCTGCAGGGCTTCCCAAAGTTGTTGTGCTGAGCATTATCAAAAATTTCAGGCATTATCAAAAAATTCAGGCATTATCAAGTGTTCAAAACTGGCTGTGGCACCTGTGGACAGAGTTGGGGCAATGCTGGGGTGGGTTTGAAGATCTCAGAGGGTTTTTCCAGCCCCAATGTGATTCTGTGAATTTCAGGATGTTTCTGGCACCTGCGCTTTGGGTTTCACTCAGGAGGAAGAACAGGAGCACACCTAAATGTGTTTTATGTTTATTTTTGTTGTTCAGTGGGGAATTGTGCCCTAAAAAATAAAAGTAACAGAGCTGCAACAACACGTGGGGCTGAGGAATTTCATTCAGCTTGTGGGAAATTTGAGTGATAATTCAAAATCAGCGTGGTGCAACTCAGGGTGGCCAAACCAAATGCATTTATTCCTGCTCCAGAAGGAATAAGTGACCACAGGATTAAAAAAATAGCTTTTTATTGAGGGTTTTTTAGGAAAAAAAACCCCAAAATCAGAGGATCGCTTCATTTCTTCATTTGTAAAACAAGAGATTGAAGGAAGGAATGAGAACAACCTTCAAACACATCAGGAGTGTTTAAGGCAAATCTATTCATCTGCTCTCAATTTCCAGGAGTAAAGGTGGAAGTTTATTTGTTCTAGGTGATTTTTAAAAACTATTCCATATCTATTTTATCTTTTTCTGGATGTGTCACTCACCTAAAAGTTGTTCTTTTTTAATATCCATGGCTTAAGCATTTACAACCGATTAAGAATAAAATTATGTATAAAATAGAATAAAAATTAAATATTTTTAAAATAAAATATTTAAAAAAATAAAATAGAAATAAAAATAAAACAAAAATAATAAAAAATAATAAAAAGAATAAAAATTATTTTTCTCAGGAGCTTCTCCAAAGCTTACTCAGAATAAAAATTATTTTTAAGAGGAGCTTCACCAAAACTCACTCAGGGTAAAAAGTATTTTTCAGAGGAGCTTCTCCAAAGCTCACTCAGTGTGTCCACAGTGGTCAGACACACAACTCCATGAATTTTTCCAGTGTAATTCTGGTGGTAATCTCCCAAAAGCAGGAACAGCAACCCCAAATCTGCTCTCTAACCAGTGTCTAAAATTTAAATTGCCTCACTCAGTCACTTCCTTTTCCAGTAACTCCTTTCCAGAAGGGTTAGGTAAGAAAAGTAATAATCCTGTGGTGTTTGGAGCAGGCTGTGTTATTGGAGTCTCCATGGGTACAAATTCCACACACTTCCTTGGCTGAGGCTGGGACATACTTTTCAGAAAACGTTGCAGAAAAAATACATCATAAAAGCCCTTTTATTTTTTTTATTGCATGTCAGGAAAGCAATCCTGGAAATGGTGAAATACCTGATGGGGATTTTTCAGAGCAAGTGGTGGGGATTCTGCTGAATTTAACTGTAGGGAAAAACCCAGAAAAACCCCCACAAACAGAGATAGTTCGTAAAGCTTTATTAAAAAACCGCTGCTTTCCTTGGCAGCACCTGCATTCAAAAAATATGAGAGTGACTTGGAGCCCGGGCTGGGTTTTACTGACAAAATATAAAACAGGATGGGATGTGAGGGATGAGGAAACACCCAGCCTGGCCTTGGGCACTGCCAGGGATCCAGGGAACAATTCCTGCCCAATGTCCCATCTAAATGGGATTTTCAAATTTCAGTAGGAGCCATTCCCTGTGTCCTGTCCCTCCAGGCCCTGTTCCCAGTCCCTCTCCAGGTCTCCTGGAGCTGCTTTGGGCCCCACAAGGGGCTCTGAGGTGGCCCTGGAGCCTTCTCCTCTCCAAGAGGGAACAACTCCTGCCCAATAGCCCATCTAAATAGGATTTTTCACCATCTAAACGGGATTTTTTCCCATCTAAATTTCACTTTTTTCAGGGGGAAGCCATTCCCTGTGTCCTGTACCCAGTCCCTCTCCTGGAACCCCTTCAGGCCTCACAAGGGACTCTGAACTCTCCCTAGAGCCTTCTCCTGTCCTGACACGGAACAATTCCTGCCCAATATCCCATCTAAATGGCATTTTTTCCATTTAAGTTTCACTTTTCCCAGTGGAAGCTATTCCCTTGTCCTGTCCCTCCAGGCCTTGTCCCCAGTCCCTCTCCTGGAGCCCCTTTAGGCCCCACAAGGGGCTCTGAGGTGGCCCTGGATCCTTTTCCTCTCCAAGAGGGAACAATTCCTGTCCAATATCCCATTTAAATGAGATTTTTTCCCATCTAAATTTCAGTGGGAGCCATTCCCTGTTTCCTGTCTCTCCTTCCCTTGTCCCCAGTCCCTCTGCAGCTCTTCTGGAGCCCCTTCAGGCCCTGCAAGGGGCTCTGAGCTCTCCCTGGAGCCTTCTCCTCTCCAAGAGGGCAGCCCTAGCTGGGCCAGGGAGCAATTCCTGCCCAATATCCCATCTAAACGGGATTTTTTCCCATCTAAATTTCACTTTTTTCAGTGGAAGCCATTCCCTGTGTCCTGTCCCTCCAGGCCTTGTCCCCTTTGGGCCCTCAAGGGGTTCTGAGCTCTCCCTGGATCCTTCTCCTCCCCTATGTGAGCACCCCCAGCGCGGAGCACCCCCGTGGCTCCCTCCGGAGTTCTCCGTCAGTTCCAGGTCCTGGTGCCGCAGTACCGGCGCGGGGCTCTGTCCGTCTGTCCGTCTGTCCGGGCCGGACGATTTTCTGTCCCAGGGCATCTCTTCGCAACCCCCCGGCATCCCCCCGAGCCCCGGAGGGAGCAGCATTTCCCGGATATTTCCCCAGTTCGGGGGGCAGCAGCATTTCACCGAAATTCCCCCAGTTCGCCCCAAATCCCGCCCGCTCCCACCCGTTGTTGTCGGTGACGTCACGCCCCGTCGCCATGACGACGACTTGATGACACGTGGAGTTGGTGACAAAAAATACCCCACAACAACCCCATGGGCAATCCGCCCCTTTGGAATGTTTAACAGCGGGAAAATAAACTTTTTTTAAATTTTTTTCTTTTTTTTTTGGGTGATTTATTGAGGTGAAATCATCGCGCAGGCCCCGCCCCCTCTCCCCCCCAATAGCTTCTCCGCGCCCGCGCGCGCGCGCGTCATGCGCCCGGCCCCGCCCCGCGCCGAGGCGCCAAACCGCGCGCCAACCGCCGGCCACGCCCTCTCCGCCACGCCATTGGTTTTCCCTCCACGAGTCCCTCCCCTTCACGTGACAGGCAGGCACTACACCAATAGGAAGCGGAGAAATGCCGGGCACGCCTCTTTAGGGCGGGGCCGGGCGGTGACGCGCGGGGCCGGGGTAGCAACAGTTGCCTCGAGACCCGGCGCCCGGCGCCATAGTGACCGTAGCCCTGGAGACTGTTACTTGCCAACGGCGGCAACGCGCGGCCCCGGCGGCCGGAGCCCAGCGCAGCCCGCGGCACCCGGCGGCGACGGCAGGTGAGCGGGGCCGCCCCGTGACGGGCTGGAAGTGGCACCGCGGCCGGGGGGGGGGTGCAGGGATGTGCGCGGTCTCTGCGTCCTCCTCGGGGCCGGCGCGGCGCGGGGCCGGCGGCGCGGAGTCGGCTTGTCCCGGCGCGGGATGCGCGGTCCTGCTGCGCGCCGGGGCGGGGGGCGCCGGTCGCGCCGCCCTCGGAAAGTTGGGAGCGGGGGAGCGGCGGAGGCGGCGCCGCTGAACCGCCCCGGGCTCCCCCTCCCCGGGCCGGGGCCGCTGCCCCGGGGCACCGCCCGCAGCGCGGCCCCGCCCGGCCACGGGAACCGACACCGCCCGGCCGGCGGGGGGGCCGCGGACCCGCGATCCGCCGCTCCCGGCTCTGCGGGGCTGCCCGAACTCCGCGCTCCCGGCTCCGCGGGGCTGCCCGAACTCCGCGCTCCCGGCCCCGGCGGGGACGCGGCGCTGCCGGGAGGTCCCAGCCGGTCCGCGAGCCCCAAAGTGTCCGCTCAGGGTCGGGAGGGGGCCCAATGGGGTTGGAGTCGGTACCGCTCAGCACTGTACCCGTGCTCTTTCTCTCTCCATTCTGTCCAAGTCCTTCTCTTCCTTCTGTCCCCCTCTCCGTGCTGTCCCCGTCCTTCTCTTCGCGCTGTTCCAGTCGCTCTATTCCTGCTATCCCTGTCCTTCTCTTCCTTCTGTCCCTCTGCCCATGCTGTCCCCGTCCCTCTCTCCATGCTGTTCCGGTCCTTCTCTTCCCACTGTCCCCGTCCCTCTCTTCCCTCTGTCCCCGTCTCTCTCTTCCTGCTCTCCCCGTCCTTCTCTTCCTTCTGTCCTCATCCCTCTCTCCATGCTGTCCCCATCTCTCTCTTCCCGCTGTCCCCGTGCCTCTTTTCCTTCTCTCCCCCTCTCCATGTTGTCCCCGTCCCTCTCTCCATGCTGTCTCTGTCCTTTTTTTCCCCGCTGTCCTCCTCTCCATGCTGTCCCCCTGTCCGGTCCCCCTCTCCATGCTGTCCCTGTCCCTCTCCCCGCGCTGTCCCCGTCCCCCCCTTGCGCTCCTCCTCCTCCTCTTTGGGGGTGGAGGGAGGTGGTTTCAACTCCAGCTCGTCCCTGGAGTTTGCCAGAGCCGGGAGATCCCGGCGCTTTCTTTTCTCGAGCCGGGCTTAGAAACGAGGGGAAATCGCAGCGAGAGCTGTTTGCAAGCATCCGCCGTCTGTTCTTGATGAGGTTTCTGCTGTTGCTAATAATAAAGTGTGTTGTGAAACAAGATTCATCTCCTGTTAGAGTGGGATTTTGTGGACGTGCCTGTTTTAAGCGTGAGTTCCCGCTGCCTGATTAAATGTTTCCATTCTTTTTGCTTAGATAGCACTGCGAGCCTTTATTTTGGCTTTGCTGTTGAAAGAGGCGAGACTTACTAATTAAAAAGCAGAATTAGTAATAATTTTATTAAATATTGTTAAATCTACTTTACCTTTTTGCATTTGGAATGTCCTTAAACTGAGGCTTTAACTGGTAGATTAAACTGAGAGCTCAGCTTTGGAATCATTTACTCGAGGCTTTTTTCATCTGCTTCTGCCCAAACTTTTCAACTTTATCTTGCTTACAAATCATTTGAGAATAGAAAGTAACGTCTGGCTTAGAGAAAAGAAAAAAATCAGTCTCTAAATACCAATCTTAAGCTCCTGGGCTTCCCTCCCTGCCTCTGCTGTTTCAGTTTTCAGTCTGAGTTTGCCTCAGCCAGTGCAGGATCAGCTCAGTCTCAGGTTTTATTTTAAAGTGACATATTTAGTAAAAGGGGAGGCATTTTGGGAGGCTCTGTTGTGGTTACCTCGTTCAAAATGGGCTGAATCAACCTCTGACTGTGTCTGCTGAGAGAGTTTGGGATGAACAATTTGATTTCTGGGTGGCTGCTGAGGCAAACCCTCAAAGCAGGACCTTGTAGGACTACAGAGGTGTTGGATACATGAAAATCTCATTTTTAATTTTTTTTTTAAGAAACCCAACACATCCAGCTGTGTCTTTACCTCTCAGTGTTGCTGTCCCAAAGGAGGGGAGATGGATTGGAATTCTGTGAGATGTGTTTCATTTGCCTTGGGGTTACACAGCTGTGGGCAGGCTCCAGGGGTTTGTTGTTTGGAGCTGGTGTTGTCAGAGCTGTTCCCATAACCACGAGCTTTGGAACTGCTCATCTTTTTAATCAGAATCTGAGTTCTCAGGTAACAACAGGATCTTGGCCTGAAGGCTGGAAGTGCAGACAGAAGGGGTTGACAGCTGGAATTTCTTTGTCCCTGCTTGCTTCTTGCAGAACAGGAATGATCCCAGTGGGGATGGGCATGGGAGCATCCACTGCCACAGAGGAAAGGCAGAGCCAGGTCCCTCACAGCCACCCCTGCTTTGCATCTCCCTGCTGAGCCATTTGCATCTCATGAATTCCTCTCTCAGGAGGAAAGCCCCCAAGAGCCAGCTCTGCTCCTGTGAGAAATCTGCAGCACCTGGAGAGGGGCTGACACTGCAGGCAGCGCCCTGGGGTCTTTTCCTTTAGCCCTCTCAAAGAGCGTTCTGTAGAATTGCCATATAAACTTGTAGGGCCACCTTATAAATTTGTAGGATTGCCATGTAAACTTGTAGGATTGCCATATAAACTTGTAGGACCACCTTATAAATTTGTAGGATTACCGTATAAATTTGCAGGACCGCCTTATAAATTTGTAGGATTGCCATATAAACTCATAGGACCACCTTATAAATTTGTAGGATTACCATATAGATTTGTAGGACCTCCTTATAAATTTCTAGGATTGCCATGTAAACTTGTAGGACCACCTTATAAATTTGTAGGATTACCATATAAATTTGTAGGACCACCTTATAAATTTGTAGGATTGCCATATAAACTCATAGGACCACCTTATAAATTTGTAGGATTACCATATAAACTCATAGGACCACCTTATAAATTTGTAGGATTGCCATATAAATTTGTAGGACCACCTTATAAATTTCTAGGATTGCCATATAAACTGGTAGGACCACCTTATAAATTTGTAGGATTACCATATAAACTTGTAGGATTACCATATAAATTTGTAGGATTGCCATATAAACTTGTAAGACCACCTTATAAATTTGTAGGATTGCCATATAAACTTGTAGGACCACCTTATAAATTTGTAGGACTGCCATATAAATTTGTAGGACCTCCTTATAAATTTGTAGGATTACCATATAAATTTGTAGGATTGCCATATAAACTTGTAGGACCACCTTATAAATTTGTAGGACTGCCATATGAATTTGTAGGACTGCCATATATATTTGTAGGATTACTATATAAATCTGTAGGATTACCATATAAATTTGTAGGATTTCTATATAAATTTGTAGCACCACCTTATAAACTTGTAGGACCACCTTATAAATTTGTAGGACTGCCTTATAAATCTGTAGGATTACCATATAAATCTGTAGGATTGCCATAAAAACCTGTAGATTTGGCCTATAAATGGAGGCATCTCCTTCATCAAGGGACTTGGCTCCCCATTGAGCCCCTGCAGCCGGGCTGGGAGGGAGGGATGGGGTCACTCATCCCAGGATTTAAACTGAGTGTGGTCTAGAGAGTGTTGCTGTTAAATTGTGTGTCAGGTATGGGAAGGTACATCGGAAATACACTTTCTGTGTCATTTTTTGTGTGTAAACACCATCACACGCATCCCTGGCAGTGCCCAAGGCCAGGCTGGATGGAGCTTGGAGCACCCTGGGCTTATAGAAGGTGTCCCTGCCATGGGGCAGGGTGGAGCAAGGTGGGATTCAGGCTCCCTTCCATCCCAAACTGTCCTGGAATTCTGTAATCATCCAGATGACATAATTTCTCCTGGCTTTTGGGGGAAATCCTCCAGCTGAGAGTATTCCCTGCCACTAAAAGCCACTTTCTGCCCCGAAACAACTTCAGTGCTGCAGAACAGTCGGCGCCACTCATTGTCTTTAAATAACCCCGTGCTTGTAACACCTCGGAGCCCCGACAGCTGCCACGTTTCATCACAACATGTTTTCCCTGCCCATGGAGGGCCGTACACAGAGCGGCTTTGGCGGATCCCAGCCCGTTTCCCCCGCCCGAGCCGAGCTAAAAGCGGAGCCCGGGCTGGTGCTGATTCAACAGGCGGGGCCCGCCCGCTCTCGGCAGTCTCTGCTGGAAGTGCCGAGTTATTTTTAACCCCACATCTCCCTCCCTGGCTGCCTCCCTCGGAACGAATGCCAGAGCGGTGCAGGGCTGGGTGCGGGCCAGCGGGAGCGCGGCGTGCCCGCCCGGCCCCGGGGATTGGGATCCATCGGGATCAGGGCTGGGATTCATCAGGATCGGGGTTGGGATCCATCAGGATCGGGGTTGGGATCCATCAGGATCCAGGCTGGGATCCATCAGGATCGGGGTTGGGATCCATTGGGATCCATCGGGATCCAGGCTGGGATCCATCAGGATCGGGGTTGGGATCCATTGGGATCCATTGGGATCCAGGCTGGAATCCATCAAGATCGGGGTTGGGATCCATCAGGAGCGGGGTTGGGATCCATCGGGATTGGGGTTGGGATCCATTGGGATCAGGGTTGGGATCCGTCGGGATAAGGGTTGGGATCCATCAGGATCGGGGTTGGGATCCATTGGGATCGGGGTTGGCATCCATCAGGATCGGGGTTGGGATCCATTGGGATCCATCGGGATCTGGGCTGAGATCCACTGTGACCTGGTCTAGGATCTATTGGGATCTGGGCTGGGATTCATGGGATCCATTGGGATCTGGCTTGGGATCCATTGGGAGCTGGGTTAGGGTCCATTGGGATCGGGGCTGGGTTCCATCAGGATCCATCAGGATTAGGGCTGGGAGCCATTGGGATCCAGGCTGGAATCCATCAGGATCCAGGCTGGTATCCATCAGGATCAGGGTTGGGAATCCATCAGGATCCGGGGTGGGATCCGTCGGGATCCAGGTTGGGAATCCATTGGGATCCGGGTTGGGAT